ACTAAAGTATGATTAAATACTTAAATATTATTTCATATATATATCATATATATATCTTATCTCTTACATATATCTCTTACCTAATTACCTAATTACGCAATGTTAACGGAGCTTTTCATCGACAGTGGATATCGTTCATAGAAACACTTTATAGACCGAGGCTTTATCCGCGAATAGCTCTATATATATGGTATATATATAGTACATATGTATATATGTATATATACATATACACAAACGCGTACATCTCAAACGTGTGTCCTCTCGTGGGAAACAAGTTTGCGCTGCTTCCGCATCGCGGCGTTCGCTTTTGTAACGTGTAAACCACAGACAGAATAGACGCGCTTCACGGGATGACCATTTTGTGGAGCCAAAACAAATCCAACGATATTTCCGTTCCGTTCCCGACACCGTTTGGTGTTTTTTATATTACAGATTAGTTCGGTCGCGCACAAAGAACGCACAGTTGTTCCATTCTCTCCAAACTACGCACTAAACTTCCGTTGGATCGTATTAAATCGCGTTAAAACGAAAAAAAAAAAAAAAGAAAGCACAGTAGCGATTGCGAGAGAGCATCGATAAAAGAAACAAATCAAATTCTCTCTCTCTCTCTCTCTCTCTATACAACAATGTGTCCGTTCTATCGACAAGTTTTCACAGCTGTTTGCAGTCTAGGCTTTTGTAAAGTGTGCTGCGAAGTATGTGTGCTATCTAATAAATCACTCACTTAAATTATTGCATCGTGTTGTTATCGTACGCCTCAAGACCGATGTAACACGTATACGATCGCGCGCGCGCGCGCACGCGTGGTTAGATCAATGACTTTCCAATTAGACACGTGCTAAAACTTTTATACAACACGCTCGATTCTATCGCATTCAATATATCCAGGAACATTACCGTTTCTCCGCATCTCTCTCTCTCTCTCTATATATATATTTCGTTACTTCTCCTTCTCCCAGGGGGGCAAAATAGAACGCGATCTTTTTTTAAAAAAAGGATTTTTTTCTTTGTATGTACATGCTTATACACTTTGTACACAAGTGAGCGCGTACATGCAAATATATACGTATGCAAAAAAAAATAAAAAAAAAAAATGTATGTACACGCTTGCAAAAGTAATCCTCCATTTATTTTTGCTTTCTCGTAAAAAAAAAACAATATATTTTCGACTTTCTATCTAGAAATAAGATTTATACGCACGTGTATATCTTATTTCTACGCGCAGAGACCAATATACGTTTATCTATATTTCTACGCATACAAGATTATGTGTGTATCTCCGTATATATATATATATATATATACATACATACATATTTAATAAAATATCGAAAGTAACCCCGAGATCAAATGTGTCAATACGTAGAAAGAGCAAAATGCAATTCAACTTTCGAGCATGTAAATGTGTTTTTCTTTTTTTTTATCGACGTCATAATCCGCCAAAAAATCGATTAAAAGTTGTAATCTTCCGAAGAACGCAATAAAAAAATTATAATTTTGCAATGTCAGACGAGAATTCGCAGTTACACGTTCGTACCGCGATTATGGTTATTAAAATCAAATTTTTAGTGCGATAGCGCCGATCAAATCGGGCAACGTGATCGTATCGTTATGTATCATCCGTGTTTCTATGTAAGTGCAAAATAATAAAAAAAAAAAAAAAAAACCTATTCCTAATAAGATACAATTTATTCACATTTGGACGGTCACCGACCTGCGTTTTTTTTTTTTTTTTAATATTATTATTCGACGCTCTTCGAATTATCGGCCAGCCCAAAAAAAAAACTTTTTTCGAATAATCGAACATCATCGTCTATATGCAATAAAAATAATATTATCAACAGTTTTGCGCGAAATTAAATTACTTACTTATTAAATAATTAATAGTACAAATAATTTCCGAGAAAGACTCGGATTCACACAGACCTTTGCTGATATGAGATTTAATTGTGACGAGTTGAATTTCTTTTTTTTTTTTTTTTTCTTCACATTACAGTTAAATTCTTAAGCGATCACACACGATTTCAATTTCCGCGTAAAAACGAAGAGGATTAGACGCAAGACTCCGTTAACAGATCAGACTGCAGACGTTCGACTCGAAAACGATTGTACTGACGATAAGGGGAACGCGTTTGATCATTGTCCGTTATTACTCGCGTTCTGTGAGGAATTAAATTCTCGTATCGTCCCATCAGCCAATCTTGACACTGTCGATGCTGAACGTCCGTGCCATTTTTCGACATCCACGATGCGTGCCAATGGTGAAACTTCGAGTCTTTGCGCTTTGTCACGGTCGGATGAATCTGAGATAATAAGAAAAACATACACAAAATGAAAACATCCATATTACGGGGTGGCGGTGAAAAAATATTCTCAAGTCGATGTGTGTGTGTGAATGATTTGTGAACTTACCTCCTTAGCGCGACTAATGGAGTTTCGCTTATAAATAAGCTTGTCCTTGTTGACAATGAAACACATCGTGTAACTATTTGGATTAAATCTACATTGTGTTTCGTCCGAATTGATAATGTCCGGGGTGTCAATCGATCTGCAACAGATTAATAATAAACGGTAATAAAACTAGAGACAGAGAGAGAGAGATACGTAACAATCGAATTTAAATTATATAATACAGAGCACGCGTGTGTACACTTACTCGGCGCCTCTTTCCGGATGATTAGCATTAATCAAAGGTTTGTCTCTCATCAGTTTCGAAGCGTGCCTCTGATACGATTTTAAATTACGATCGAGAAAAACAGGTTTACGTTCCGCCGAGATTCTGCCCACGGAGCTCCAACCACTTCCGTCGGCCTGCAACACAAGAGAATACACAGATGCCACATTATTTTTCAATAATAATCCAAAATCAAAGATTGTGAATGTAAAATAAAAAAAAACAAATTAATAATTTTCTCTCTCGTTTCAAGAACATTCGAAATTATTTATAAAAAAGTTTTGACGATAATTTGATTGAAAAAACATATAACTGCAGTTTGTTTTTTTCGAAAAGTTTCAACTCTTATCTTTCCTACAGGGCTCCTACATATTCAATTCCCCCACATCGGTTTTAATTGTTGTATAAATTTGCAAAATTACGTAACTACATAAAATAAATTCTTAATATAAATTATATAAATGTTAAAAATTTGTCTCGCACGCGGAACAAAAAAAAATATTTTACAAGATTCCTGAAAACCGGTTTTATCTCTTTTTTACAATAAATATTACGACATGTATATGTATTTTAAGAAAGTAATAGAAAAGAGATATATGTTCTCGAAGAGAATAATCAATACTTCATTATGTTTAAACGCACACATGTCAGAACATATATATAATACATGTGAGAAATAAAACAATGTGTTGGTTCTTAAGTTACAAAACGGAACACGCAGAAATCGATAAAAAGAAACGTTTTTTGGCGAGAGAAAATAATTTTCAAATCCTAATCTCCTCATCTTTCTTCTCACGCAATTCCGAAGATGCGTACAAATGTAAAACTCATTTCAGACGACGAAAAAAAAAAGTAAAAAATAATAAAATTTAGTGGTACAAAAATGACGTTAGACAATAATATTCCAAAATCGTACGTGTATTTCAATATCTCTCTTCTATACAATATTGTTGTCCACATTATTGTACGAATACTTCTCTCATATACGCAATATTACAGTTGTACACATATACACATATACAAAACATTGTTTTTTTTTTTTTTTTTTATCAAGTAGACACGTGAAAAAATAGGTCTATCCTTATTTATATGCAAATATGGATACACCGCAAGTTCTATAAAAAAGTCACCACGTACTTTGTTAATGCGTGCAACGAAGTTTTTTGCTTCCTCAAGATTCTTTTACTTCATTAAATAAACTAACACAGCGACGTCGTATATACCCTATCCGCTTATTTTATGAGAATAAAAAAAATTAGTTGCTTCGAGAATCTAAGAAGATCTAATAATCTAAGACGATATATATATATATATATATATATATATATATATCATATTGATTGTTTTGTCCCTCTCTAGCATCTATTTCTTCCGTTTTTCTCTATGTTACGAAACGCGTGTGAAACCCCGTAATACATGTTTAAATACAAAATACATATATAAATACAAAATACGTATTATGTATATATGTATAAATTTTAATTAAGTAAACTGTGGAATAAATTATGTATATTAATCAATCTCAATATTATTTTTCTCATCAGTTCGACGTGTTCCCCGCTGTCATTTCGGTTTCTCGATTATTTTTCTTATCATCTTGATGTGCATCCGCTTCGTCACAGCAGCAAGTCAATTTTTTTTTGTTTTGTACGAACACCCCGCGTGCGGCACACAATCCCTGTATACGCGCGCAATAAAATAAAATAAAAAAAAATAAATAAATAAATAAATAAATAAAAACCCAAAAAATTTTGATTCTTTAATTTTATTACGTTTATAGTTTGATCGACGAAGAAAAAAAACGGAATACAATGCTACTATTTTCGCGAGTTTGTTTTTTCAAACACGCACGTTCGTAGAATGTTGATTGGTTCGCTTCAAAGACCACTTATGGAAGAAAAATCCGCGTATTACTTATAAAATTTATTTACAAATAATAACGGATCGGCTCTATTCGTTTCTCCTCTCGTCCGTCAACAACAAATAATTCGTTCGGATGTTTCTCTCACAAAATGTGCCAAACGTTTCCTGAAAACATTCTGTTTTAAAATGTGCTTTTAAGTTTTAAAGCGCGTGCGAGCATAAATAAAAAAAGAACGTTAAAAAGAACGCGATAATAAATTTTTTTTGCATTGTTCTCTTTTCCCCATCCCTTCTCGTATACACCCGGTATTTAGTCGAGATATTGATAACGAATAATGGGTGTATCCGGGGCGGAGGGGGGGGGCGGGGTGGTGAGGCAGAGAGAAGAGGAGGGGAGAGTTGAGCGCGCATATATTAAACGAGAACCGAAGTCGGCGCAACACACACACACACACGCACACGACGACGTTGTTATACCGCCGTATATACGTTACGACGCGCGCGGGTGTGGACGAGTCGAAAATGGTGCGCATACGCCACTGGTAGGTAGGTAGGTAGGTAGGTTAAATCGAGGCGCGGCGGCGAGAAGAGGAAGCGGTTGCGGGAATTGACGGCGCGCATAGCGCCGCCGCGCAAGCCGTCTTCCTCCTCTCTCTCTCACCCCGGTCTTTACGCGGCGTACGCCATTTTGAGGAGCAGCGCGGAGAGAGAATCGACGGCGGCGGCGGTGCGATTCGTTTTCGCGCGAGTGACGTGAGAAACACGGAATATATAAAGAATAACACGGCGGAGTCTCGGCGCGTCGCGCGACGACGACGACGACGACGACGATGAGTTTCCCCCCGCGCGGTGCGCGTTCGTTGTTTGTCCCCGGGCGCTGTTTTTTAATCGAACGAGGCTGACAACGGAGCGAGTGATCGATTGACGACGACGACGACGACGAAGACGATGAAGACGACGAAGACGACGACGAAAACGCCCGTGAGAGACAAAAGAAAAATTAAGAACGACAAGAAAACGTCTTGCGAAATATTTTGCGCGGAGTAAAAAAAAAAGTGGTGAGACTCTTTTGCGGGGAATAAGATAATCGCAATTGGCGAGGACGCGCATCCCCGCCCTCGTTCGCACACACATTCCCGTTTTTTTTTTTTTTTTTTTTTTTTGTTTTCTTATAAATACGTAAGTACGCAACAACGTTTTTTTTTTCAAACCGTAGTTCGAAAGTGAATCTCGAATTTTTCGCAGACGTTCGCGACGTGTTGAGCGCTCGAGAGTTGCTCCGAGATTTGAACTTTTGAAAATATTACATAATTAGAGATCGTTGTGTTAGATTGTTATTAGATATAAAATATTGAAGTTAACGCGCTTCACAAAAACGGCAGAACAACATTTACCGAGAATACGAAAAAATTTGCGCGATAGGAATTTCAAGATGAAATACAATTGCAAAGTTGAAAGCTTCGCTGAAAAAAAAAAAAAAAAAAACAAAAAAAAATAGAAGCACCATTTGCCATAATTGCGCCAAGTTTTTGAGAAAATGCGATTGATAAAATAAGTACACATATGCGTGTATAAAAAATTAAATTCCGCGTGTTCTCTGGAAAATTATTAAATTGGAATAAAAAAATCAGATGACAAAAGTTTTGCGCTTCGCAAAGTTTCTTTTTGTCTTTCGTTCTCGCAATGAAAAATTTTATTAACATTTGTGCGTCTAAAATAGAAACGAATTTTTAATCGACTCTCGTTGAAATTCTCGGGATAAATCTTAATTGGATAAAATAATTCAGGACGAATCTTAATTCAAAGTAACGAAATGCTTGCGACAGAGATTGTCCAACCAAAAAAAAACTTGAAAGACGAGGAAAAAATGAAAAAACTTCTAAATCAATTCTACGAAATTAAGAAGTGGTTCGTGATGATCGCGTGAAGAATTTTTTTTTTTACCGCATCTTGCAAACGATCCGAACAAAAATTGTTTGCATTGCAAATGTCAAAGCGTGCACGAAATTATTTCTATTAATTGACGTCGACTCGAAGGAGCTTATAACGTTTAAAAAAAAAAAAAAAAAAAAAACAATAAGAAAGCGTCGTTGTATATTTGATAACTTTTGTTAAACGTCTCTCGTTTGAGATCAGAAGAAAAAAAATACTGTACTGCCAGTCACCACTACGTCAATCAAATTGTTTGCGTTCTACGGAAAAAATAATGCGAAATAAAAAAAACAAAAAAAACAATTGACAATAAAGAGAGACAGGGAAAGAAGATCAATCAAAAAAACACCCTTCTGCGAGTCTACGGAGAAACCAGCTGCCGACAATGAAGAAAGAGAGAGAGAGCGAGAGAGAGAGAGAGAGAGAGAGAGAAGCGCGCGCGATATGATATAACAGAAATGATAAAATCGAATCTCTCTAGCGAAGTCAAAAGAAGAAAAAAAAAAAAAAAAAGAAGAGAAAGAAAAACCTAAGAATGTGTGCGAAACCTTTGGTAAAAATGACAAAGTACTACGGGATGTCAATACTTCATACTGTCGCGTTTATCAAACATTATTACAGAATTGATGCAAAATTACAACTGACTTTTTTTTTTTCTATATACATCACATAATAATACAGTGCGTAGTTTTTCTCGTTCTCTGCTGTGTACTATCTATATATTCGTTTATGTACATAGCGAAAAAACAAAAAAAATATATATCATGTGTATGTATATATACAACGCGCGTGTGTTTGTGTGTGTGTGTGTGTCTTGATGAAGGACGCAACAGTTTAAGCTTAAGAAAACACACTCGGCTCCACGCCACGGAGTAAAATACAGTCTTGTCTCGTACCTCGTTGAACTCGTTTAGCTAAAGAAAGAAAGAAAAAAAAAAAAGACCACCAAACCAATGCGCACACACTTGCTTCGTACAAAGGGCATCAGCGCGTCGGTACTACAGCCGCGATCACCCCGCCAACACACTTTTAGGGATCTCGTCAAGATGTAGCACGAGACACCACCACAACAGCGGTGCCCTCGTACAGAGCAAAAAAAATGCGCGCAAAGACCCTTTCTCTCGGAAACAAACGTCAGCGATCTCTGACTCGCGAGATAAACAACTTCGTTCGTCGAAGCACCAGGTCACTCGGAATAACGTTTTTTTTTTTAAATCACTTAGTGAGTGTACAAATTCGATGTTTCATTTGTTCTTTTGTTTGTTTGTTTTTTTTTTTACGACGTATCCTATAATCTCTGTACAAAAGAAGTTACACACAGGAATTTTTTTTTACACGCACAATCGCTCGTCGTTTCTCACTTTGCCACGCAGAGATGATCTATATAAAACCATCTACTCTCTCTCTAAAAAACTCTCACTGTTTTTTTTTTTGTTTTTTTTTTTTAAAAAAAAAACCAGTTAAAACCTCTACATATTTAGTAGTCTCGAAAGTACGAATAAAACGATACAAAGTATATGGTAAGACTATTATAAATCGTCCAATATATATAATGGCGTGGAAGTAATGTGTTTCAGGTAAGTTCGACAAATGAGATATATATGTCCCCCATTCCAAAGGCTTCACTACTGCATTTTTCCAATACACGATAGCAACAGTCAAGTGTGAAACTTAACAACCCAACTATTATTATTAGCTACGATTCACTTTATGTATCAAAATTTGTATATACAAATTTGATAAATATTTACATTCTTTTTATTT